ATATATATATATATAGTATATAGTATATATATATAAAGTATATATATATGTAGCACAATGAAAACAGAACTGAACTAAAAACGCAAACAAAAGGAAAACGAAAGTAAGTTAATAATAGGTAGATGAAGCAGCTTTAGCGCTTAATATTATCTACTATTTGCTCACTTTCGTTTTCTTTTTGTTTCCGTTTTTGTTCGGTCTTCTAATTTCGTTTATTTAGGACATTGCTCTTTGAGCATAATTTTTGGATTTCAGCGGCAATAATAATTTGGCTCCTGCTAAAAATCATTTCAAAACAAGTAAATCCTGTTTTTTCTTTCTTCAAATAATAGTTTTAATTATCAAACTCATTAATTACAAACTTTAAATTATCCTGTATAATATTATTATCTTGCGCGCATCTATTTTCGGGCCCACCCAAGGTAACTAACAAATTTGACGCGCTTCAGTATTGCAGTAAGAACGTGCCATAAGATATTACTTTATTTATTCTGTTTTCATATTTTGTCATGCTTCTGTTTTCATATTTTGCAATCTGGCAATCTTATTACGGAAATATTTTAAATCATTCTTGAAAGATTCCGGTACGCGTAAGTTCATTTTATTCGCTCCTCACTATGTTGATTTCCTTTCGTGTACTGTTCTCTAATCTCTTTACATTTTATTTTCTGTTTTTTGCTTGATATATTTGTTTTTTTTTCGTATATATTTTTTACTTAATGTGTTCTAATTTCGTTTCAATTTTTTTGAGTGCACCTCACACTATTGTATTGATGCATTTTGCTTTGGCTATATTAATACAATATTAGAAAGCACTCTTTTTTGCGGAAATAATCATCTGGGCTGATGAAGAGATTATATCTTTTCCTTGTTTTTTTTCTGGATTTTTAATTTCTCTTCTCTTTTTTTTAGATATCAAAAATTATATTTTTTAAATGCTTTTGAAAAATTATTTTTAATAATTTTCTTCTCTTGTCATTATTTTTTTTATTATTCTCCATATTTTCTCAACTTTTTAGCTTATTTTATGAGTTCTATATACTAGCAGCTTATGCGAAGTTAATAAAACTTATTAATTTTCTTCATTTTTCTCTTTGTTTTTATTGTGCTATATATATATATATAATATATATATATATTTAATATTTACACTGTAACAACTGCTTATACATATCTTCTTTTTTAGGAAATTTCTTTAAAAAATTTATGAACTGAAAACTTTTAAATGTTAAAAAAGTATCATCATTCTAGAGCAAAATTATATTGTAACTCAAAAAGTATTATTTTTAACTCTAAAACATTATCACAGCATACAGCTGATATAAACTCAAATATCTCGAAGAATTTCAAAGTGATAGCTTAAGTAGCTTCATAGAAAAGGTACATCTAAAAAAGGTCAGCTTTACCATTATTGGTATATGCTCTACCTACTCCCCGAAAAAAGTTACGAAATCAAACCTCACAACATACTTTATTTCAGTACACATACTCGAATTCCTGACACCCCTATAGAGCGGGTACCTGCAATATGGTCCCAGCGAATACCTCAATAGTTTGGTTATGAAAGCGGAAAAAAGTTTGGACCCATTTAAGTTAATTTTACTTTTTGCATATTTCACCATTTCTCTAAAACTTTTCAAGTGAATTCAAGCAATTTTGCACATAATTATAAAAAGGTCGCTTATCGAAAGCTTATTCCATATAAAAAATAATTTAGAGTAAATATTTAATATTTTTATTATTTAATTAACTAATTGTTGAAAATCTTTTGAATCGCATAATAAACAATTTCTTACAACATATAAAATAATACAATTTTACTTGTCAAATACAAAATTTGTGCGAAATCTGTCTACCAGTTCCTGCGAAATCTAAATTTTCTAAAAGCCGTATTTTTAGCCGCATGTATTTTTTATTGAATCCAAAAGATAGATTTTTTTTCGTGTACAGTTTTTAAACGAATATTAAATTCATAAATACAATAATTTCATCTTATTTCCTCATATGAAGCTATTTTTTCTATCCACCACTGTATATCTTAAAGAAAGCAACTTTATACATTCAGAATAATTGTTAACATAACATATAACACTACTCAAAATTTCTATTATTTACTGATTACTTTTTATGTTTCAGAGACCTTAGTTCAAGAAAAAAAATCATGCACATGTTTTTAGTTATTCTGTTACTTTTTGCGATTGTTGGTACTGCTTATATGAAATGCACAACTGACTGCAGGCTTGTCAAATGCAAACAAGTATGCGATATAAATGAAAAAGATATAAGAGGAAAATGTAATTGCTGTGCACTATGTGTACCTTTGAATGAAACATGATGTAACTATAAAAAATCTTTACATTTCATTATATTTTTACAATATATTTATAATTTTTTACTGAAAAAACAAATTTTTTCAATGAACTGTTATAAACAATATTGTTGCATTTTTTATGGCATCCAAAATATTTCTAAATTACAAAATTTATAATTTTCTTTAACTTCACGCAAAACTGTCTAAATTTTTTTAAAACAATATTGTACTATTTTAATATAATTTTGAAATCAAAAAAATATTAGCATATTGGCGCAACTCAATTTTGTATGTAAAGTATTTTTAAAATAATTTCAAAAAAATGTTACTTACGTTAAAATTGAAGTGACTCGTGTAAAACTTCATAATCTATGGTTTTTTTCTTATTGTGCAAAGCCTTTAATTTAGAAAAAACACTATAATTAAGCAGTAAATAGTGAATTGAACTTAGGGAAGAATGTGTTGGTAGTATCCTGTCAAAATGACGAATTTTTTAATGAATTTCGCGTGTTACACGCAATACAATCTTTATTTTATCATATTATAAATACGCATGTTTAAAAAAATAGAAATAATACAATGTCTATAACTTATTTTTTAATGTATACATAATTTGTTGCAGTCATAAGTTGGGAAAATATCATCCAAAATTGATTTTCTCTTCTGATTTTTCATATATATGCTTTGTCTTTTTACGTACTTTAAGCATGCTTTATAATTTGTTGCTTAACAAATAGTAGTAGCAGAAACACTGATGAATAATTAGAAGCAAATGAATTTACAATCCTAGTTTTTTGAACATTTATGGATTCATTGTTGCCAGACTGGCAACTCTGCGTTGGACAGGGTTAATCAACTGCCTTATCCACTGGTTTATTCAGGTCTCCGCACGTCATGGGGATCATAGAACTCAGCACACGCTGTTCTTGACAATTTTCTGTAACTTTCACATTTTTACGAAGATAAATTCAATATTTTGATACAGTTGTCTCACAAAGATAAACTATTGAAATAGGCATTTTTTTTCTTTCTTGAAGTTTTACTAAGTTGTTCACCCTTAATAAAAGAAAAACTTCACTTGGAAAATAAGAATCAGTTTGGGGAAAATCAGTTCAAAGAATCAGTTTGGTATCACAAAATCAAGCAAAAATGTGTCAAACTGCCCAAAAATACTCGATTCTAAAATTCTCATGTATTCAAAAATACTACATATTTTTTGAACTATAGCTTACACTTATTTTTGAATGAAATGTAAACGGAGTGACAAACATTTTCTTTTCTGGTGCATAACTATGGGGGCTAGAGCATCATCCTACTACGAACCGGGTGGTCAGTCGTGCAAAGCCTGCGGGCAAACACCAGCATGTCTCCTATGTCTCCCTCCACATGCATTTTGCTCATAAATTNGGGCACTTGGGGATTGTCCCATTGTCCACAGGAATGCCAGAACGTCTTTTCTCGTTACCCAGTGGGCAACTGTGGCGAAGCCACGGCGGAGGAGCAGCATCACCCACGTCACACAACCACAAATCCGTTTATAGGGCGGGTCACATTCACACAAAGGAGAAAGGACATAAAGCACAGAGAGAGAGAAAGAAACATCCATGCTCTGAGCAGGATTCGAACCCGTGGCCAATGGCTCCGCAGTCAGACACGCCAACCACTCGGCCACCTGGTTGGCGTAAATTAATATATGTTTCAATATTAATTACATTGGTCTTTAATGATAATTTACTTTGGTGATATTTTGAAACATTTTCGTTCAACTTTAAGAAAAATTTTTTTTACAGTGATTGTTTAATACTTTCTGCTATTGGACTATATTTAATGCACATAATATTTATCTTAATTTTCCAAACTAATTTAAAATAAAATAAAAAGTTTTTCAAAGTTTAAATTCATAAGTATAATTGGTAAATCTCTTATTAATCTAAAATTTGAATTCCTAAGGTAAGCTCTTAAAGTAAATTCTAAAAGTAAATTCTTGAGCGAACTTTTCAGTACTGATAATCAATTAATGTGCAGATTATAAACCTTAGGCAATAACAATTTATTAAATTTGTGGTATTGTATAATGTTCTGCTCAAAATAAAATTCTTAATTTCTCATGAAGTGGGAGTATAGACTGGAAAACTTACTGCAGATTTATGAAAAGTCAGTGGTAGTAAGGAAAAACACAATTTATGGGCTATAAAACAATATATTAATTTGAAAATGAAATTAAAGAAATGACTGAACCAATAAATGCAATAATATATTCTCTCTTACAGGTGAAATTTTATAAAAATAATATTTTCATGGATTGCAATGTTAGCAAGAAGCAGAAGAATGAAAGATAATGTGATAAAAAAGCTCCCAAATAAATAAATTATTTGATTCCAAAGTAATGTCTCAGTTTTTTTTCCTTGTTTTTCTTTGTTTAAAAGATATTTCACCAATTACTGATGATCTTTCATGGCAAGTTTCAACAACATTGATTTACAAATAGCAAATGTTAGCGCAAAACGAGAACTGAAGATTTTAATAAAATGAAAATAAATAATGGAAATGAGAAGCAATTCTTTTCACAGTTTTTTGGAAACTGAGTCAAAATTCAGTCTTTAAAAAATACAAAACAACAATTTTAGGCATCATTTAATTATAAATGCTGCCTAAATCTGTGTCTTTGAAAGCAAAATATAGTTATATTTTTACTTGTCATTCTATAATATTTTATTCTCCTGTAAGATATTGCAAAACTAAAAATAAAATAAAAAATCAAATTTTGATCATTTTGTTATTTAAAACAAATTACAGGAAAATTGATTTAAATTGCATTAATTCATTTTATATTTGTGGGGGCTAAGCATATTCTTACAGTTAAAATATAAAGTTGAAATTCTTTAAGAAAAAATACTATTTACAAGTCTAAAAATTTGATGAGTGGCCTTATNTATAACTATATATATATATATATATATTTCTACATGTATTGTTGAATTAGTAAGCCTAGTTGTTGAGCCAGTAAATATTTTAACTAAAGTAGCCGCAAAAATTTAATAGAAAATATATGTATAATTGTTCAAAAGTAATTAATTAAAAGTACAAAAGTAATTAATTTAATTAATTACAGTAATTCACAGTAGTTGTCAGAGGTTTTACAGTAATTGTACAGTAAAATAATGGTATATTAGATTTTTTTAGAGAGTAGGCCATCTACTGCTGTACATTAATGACATTACAGTTCTATACATCCATAACCAGGATAACATTATTTTTTATTATAAAATATAAAATCTTTGGTTAGCTGGAAAACCTGTTATAATTTTGCGGAAAGGCATTGACGAAAAATTTACAAAATGCTAACATTTATTGCGAAAATTGAGCAAGTAATAAATTTTAAAATGGAAATTGAAAATGATGAGTTAATTGATTTTATGACAAGTGTGATGACTAGTATAATTTTCTCTTTTTCAGAAGATGAAGGTAACAGTTATAAAGGGTGAAATGTTAGCGAGAAGTATAAAATATAAAGTGATGTAGTTTTTTTATTTTATTTTATGACCGCCGTTGAACAATCGAAAAGTGATGTAGTTGTAGTTCATTTACGCCGCACTTGAGCAACACAATGGGCTATTGGCGACGGTCTGGGAAACATACCTGAGGACGATCCGAAGACATGCCATCACAATTTTGATCCTCTGCAGAGGGGATGACACCCCCGCTTCGGTAGCCCAACGACCTGCACGCGAAGTCGAGAACTTTACGGTAGAACAGTTTAGCGAGGACCAATACCGCACACCCTCGGTCCCTACGCAGACTGATCCAAGAGGTCACCCACCCGCACACTTACCGTAGCAGTGATGCTTGACTTCGGTGATCTGCTGGGAACCGTGTCTTAACGATCAGTCCACTGCGGGACTATAAAGTGATGTAAATTCCTTTTAATGAATTAAGCGTTTTGAATCTAAAAAATGATTACGTTTTTTCTTCTTTCTTTCATTTCTGTTTAAATAAATGGTGCGTAAGTCGCAGAGTTTACTTTAGCAGAGATGTAGCAATTCAGTTGGTGTCCATGCTTTCTTGCTGTTTTCGACATAGCCGAATCCTGCATGGCGTAGTTGAAAACGCGATTTATCTGACCACATGACCCTTTTCCAGTAATTTACAGTCCAATCCTTATGCTCTTTTACAAACTGCAGATGTCTGCTCTTGTTTAATGCTTTCGAGACCTTCGAACAGGTCGCCGGCTTTCATAGCCTATTTGGTGTAATGTGAGGTGCACAGATCGTTCTGAGACTTTCAATGTTGAACCTTTAATAATATCCCCCTCTATTTGACGTACTGTCGTTCTTCTGTTGAATTGGACAACTTTGGCAAGTCTCCTTTCAGATCAAGTATTAAGTAGCCTGTGACGACCACAAGCCTGACGTTGAGATGCGGAATTTTGCTTGGTAGTCCCCGCTCTGCACACTTTAGTGACTGCTGCTCTCTGCAATTTCACAAGAGCTGCAGTTTTGCTGATACTGGTTCCGATGATCCGAGAACCTAAAATCATTCCGCTTTCAAATGTTAGGTTTTTTGCCTGTATCTTCACGCGTAGCGCAGTGCGATTGATGGTTCAAGTGCCATCCATTCCTTTTATGTTGCTATATCTCCCTCAATGGCAACACTGTAACGCAACAGCTCATTTCGCTGGTCATAATGATTTGACCAACTCAGTGTATAAGAGGAAATTGAATTTTTTAAATAAACATGGGGAAATAAGTTTTAATTGAATCCTTCATGGAACACCTAAGACATGTGCCTTTTTCTATAAAGCTAAAGTTTGAACTCAATAGCATAATGTTTAGGCTCCTTCCACAAGAGTCAAAATTTGAAAGAGACGTTTTTGAAACATTTTTGGCAATAAAATCTGGACTGAATTAGAGACGCAAATCTAAGCTTGATGTGATGTTACTCACGAAAAGAAGAGATTAACATCATGTCCAGCTGAATTTTCCAATACATAATTTTATTCGCAAATGGACATTTTTGATACTAGAGTGCACTGATATAGTGACTTTGAAGAGGATCAAGGTTGAAAGATATAAATGTGAATGAATAAATTATTTCGATCCATTAATAAGCACTTTTAAACTTCGAAAAAAATCTTAGCAGGTTATTTCTATACGAAGACAAAGTGTAGTAATAATAATTCAAAATTACCATTTGATGATAATTGGAAAAATGTATTTTGAAGTTTCGCCTTGATTGTTTACAGAAATATATGAGTCGGAATGTTAAAAAAAATCGAAGCAAATCAAAAACAATATCTCTTTAGTCAACATTAAACATTACGTTTGTCTAATTTTGACGAAAGTTAAGAGCTTAAATTTTATGTAGCAAAATGTACTTTAAGACTAAATTTTAATTTTTAGTTCAAATTAAAATCGTACCATCAATTTTTTTTACATTTCACTCTGAGAAAAAAAGCATAGTCACTGGGATTTTAGTAACAACTAAGTATTTAGTAAAAGTTATCGTGTTTCTGGCTCTATGGGAGCACGAAAAAGCTCTGTAATTTTCACCGAAGTTTTTTGGCAACTATTTTGGTGAAATTAACAACTAAATTTGGTTTATGATATGTGATAAAATTTGGTAAATATGATATTGTAAATTTATTATGATACCTTAAAGCATCTGATAAAACTATTTATTCGGTAAAATTTACTTTTTCTTTTTTTTTCTTTTTTTAAAAAAACATGTGGTAATGATAATAAGAAATATTTTTAAAATATGGTTTTAAAAGTATATTATTTAAAACTAAAATTTCCAGTAAACTATTACCACATGAACTGAAAAATGACCAAATTAATTGTTTAAATACCGAATATTTCAGGTCGATAAACCGGGAAAAATTATTTTAACAAAAGTTTTTATTACCCTGCAATACTTTAATTTCCCCCCTAAAATGTTGACTTTTAAGAAATAATTAACTAGAAGATCTATGTAGTTGTCATAAAACAATGATTTACAAGAAAACACTTATTAAATTTCCATAAAAATATTGATTCTATCTTGGTTCGAAATATAAATGTTGCGACATGCGATTAGCTTCCCGAATGTTTATTATCAATATTTTGTAATAAAAGTTAAGCTATACAAATAAAAAAATAGTCATGCGGGCGTAACGCTTACCGTAAACAACAATTACTTGGAATTTTTTTTCTACTATAAGATAAAACAGATGATGTCTTGGCTTTAATAATTTGAAAAGAGGTGATATTTTAATGATATTTACAAATCTGTGCAATTTCAAAATGTCGGTCTATTGCCTTTTTAATACTTTTCGTGATCCTGAAATAGTTTAGTTAGACATTTCACAACTCTTCTTGCTTGCATAAAATTTTCATTTCCGTTTGATTTATTACTTTTAGAGTTTGACAGAAACGACTCTGATTAAACAACAAATAATAACGGAATAAAAGTAAGTTGAAAACGTGTAACGCATAACATTGTTAAAGACTTTTTGAGAAAACCCATAGCCTTGTTATAATTAACGTGAGTACCTACTGATATATTTCTAATTACATCAGTAATAAGAATTATACTGTTTTTGCATTAACTAACACTATTTTTAATATCCATTTTGTAAGACTAAGAACAGTTCAGATTTGCACAATCGCGCCAGATAAAAAACTGTAACAGTAGTATGTAGATTGTAAAAACCTTGTAATAATTGTTTATTTAAAGAAATGAAAAACGTTGCAGATATTTTAATACTTGAAAATTACAATTTAAATTGAAATTATAATAAAATCTTCAAAACGAAAGACAAAGAAATGAGTTCGCATGAGCATACCTTCTGAAAAAATTCTAGATCTATTTAGGGTATGAAGTATCGACACTTTCGGTGTATCATCCATGAAATTCATTTTACTGTGAAATCCAGCTTTACTGCTAAATGCTATATCGTAATTTCAACAGTAATACTTATTTAATTAAGAGTGATGCAGGGATTTTTCGAAAAACACTACTTTAAAAATTACGATATTTCATATTTGCAGCGTTCCAATAAAAAAGAATTTTTCGGTGAAAAGTACCGGCAGCCGGAATACCGGTACCTTTTACTATAATTTGGTCCAAAATGTTTTAATGTATCTGAGGTATGGAATATGTCCTCCTGTTTTCCATTCCTTGATATGATTTTCTTAAATGAAATAATTATGTAATCATATTTTTTTCAGACAATTTATTATATGCGAAGTGACAAAATAGACTCTCAACAAAATTTATCGTAACAAGAGTGAATTTAAATAATTTATAGCTGTAATGCTTTATATTTACCTGGTAAAGAGTTTCGATTGTAATATATACAATTAACTACATTTGGTAAAAGTAATATTTCAAGTAAAACATCTTCTAACCATAAAAAGTTGAATTTTTTTATTGAGGTTTTCTTTCGTCAGATTTCAATTATATAAATATAAGTATTACGCGTCAACCATACAATTACTTAAGTCTTTCAGAAATAGAAGAAAGATATAAAAATATTGATACATATTGATGATATGATCTAATTAATTTACATTCACAATTTTTAATTAGAATAGAATTTTACTTTCAAACTAAAGTGTTCTTTTATTAAAAGACGTGTGATAGCTAAAAAATAAATATTTATCCCTTATTCATTTCTTTGAAAATTTTTTAATGGTTTTTCAATTGTAAAAAGGAACGGAATTTTTATAGATAATTACCTCGTAAATAAAGAGCTATTTTAAGATCAACTTGAAAATTAAAGCTAAAATTATGTAGGTTTATCAAATAGATTTTAAAAACGCACTTAAAACCATCCAATTAAGGCTAACATGAAATTAATATAGCAAATAATATCTCGAAAGTTCTTCAGAACTGAAAGCTTGAACTTCTATTCTTCTTTTTCCAGAAACAAACGTTTTGCATTTCATTTAATATCGTTGAAAGAAAAGCTTAAAGTAATTAAGAATAAAAATTGCGAATTAATGTTAAATACTAAATAAAAAAAAACATAAAAGTAAAGAAAATAAAAATATTTTCAAAATAATTCATTATGCCTGGAAAACGGATACAATACACCGTAAATCACTCTGAACCAAATGATCAAATTATCTGCAATAATTAAATTATGTGTACGATATGAAGTACTGGCACTTTGGTTGCGTCATCCGTAAAATCAAGTTTGCCGTGAAATATTATACCTTAACTGAGAGAGTAACATTTATTTACTTGAGTAATTTATTCATTTACTGCAATCAGTATTGTAAAAATTACGGAACATCATATTTTATTCCATAACATATTCCGGTAAAAATAGAATTATCGGTAAAAAGTTCCAGCACCATAAGTGCCAAAACTTTTCACAGTAATTAGATATCTTCATACAATTAGAAATAATTATATATTTTGTTATAATAACGCGTTCTTTTAATTACATAAAATTCATATAACTACCAATGAACAAGTTATATCATTTGTCTCGATCTTGAATCAATTAAAGGACGAATCCGTATTTTTAATTGACGAAAGAGAAAATATGCTGCTATTAGTTTCGCATAGTATATAGTGTTCCCTTTTGTTTTAAAGGATTTTGAGTAATCTATACATACACAATTTCTAGTTCCGTGATGTATTAAATACTTAGTTTTTCATTCTTTTTTTTTTTTTTGCTTTCTTATAAGTAAGTGTGTAAAAATTGTTTAAAATTGATTGTCATAATGCGTGATAATTGTTTATCACAAAGATCTATTCTACAACTTTGTTTTATCTTTAAAATACAAGTACAGTGTGCGAAGAATGTAACTGACCACCCTGAATAGGTTTTGATCTAAGGATCGGATCTCCTCTATCTAGGACTCAATCTTAATGGTCCAACGGGGTGACATCGAATATGATGGTAATTGATTATTGCTGCAGTTATTTTAAAGGGGCGCAGCAGGACATATACCAATAATGCTAAAACTTATTTTTTTCGAAGTACCTTTTCTTAAATCTGAAAAAGAAATTTCTTTAGGATTTTTCTTCTCAGCATATTTACATATACTTGTTTACACTGTGATAACTGTTAATACATGCCTTTGTTGTATTTTTCTTTCAAAAATTATGAACGGAGAACTTTTAATTTTTTTAAAAGTTTCATTATTCTGGAGCAAAAATCTTTCATGACTCAAAAAGTATTCCTGTTAACACCAAAAAAAAAATCATCATAGCATACAAATAATCTAATCTCAAATATCTCCAAAAAACAATTTAATAGCGATATCATAAGTTGTTTCTTAGAAAAAGTACTCAGAAAAGTGGTCAGTTTTATCATTTTTGATATATGGCTTTCCGACTTTCCTTAAAATACGAAATCTGACAACACAATGCTTATTATTTTAATAAACATACTTTTTTTTCAATGAATTCGGATTTCTGACTCTAAAACATAGTGTGTACCTGCAATATGGTCCCAATGAAAACTTAATAGTTTGGTCATGAAAGCGGACAAACGTTTGTACCCCTTAAAGTTGATTTTACTTTTTGCCTATTTCGCCTTTTCTCAAATACTTTTTAAGCTAATTAAAACAATTTTGCACACAATTATACTTTTCTACACTTGCGCTAAATCTGTCTCTCTATTCCTGTCAAATAGAAATTTAAAAAAAATGGTATTTTCAATTGTATGTATTCTTGATTGAATCCTAGAACGTAAAGATCCAATTATTAAATAAAACGTTATGTTTCTTGTTTTTATTGCGTCATGTGCAATTTTTAAGTAAAAGGTAAATTTAAAATAAAACAATAATTCATATGAATTTATTCTTTCTGTCCACCATTGTATTTACAAATAAATACACAAGTGGGCGACCTTTGTGTTAAAATACAAACTAAGACAAACAACGTTAAAGAGCACAAAAATATTTATAGAATACAGACATCTGTTTAGGATGCTCAAAGGGCACTGATGAAGGTTGCCCTTTGAGCATCCGAAACAGCTGTCTGTATTCTATAAATATTTTTGTGGTCTTTAACGTTGTTTGCCAAAGTTTTCACCATTGTATTTCTCAAGGAAAATGAGATTCAGAATAATCCAGCTTTGAATCATAGTTTAAAAAATATGTTTGTAAAAACTAAAAAACTAATCGTAAGCGAAACACACTACTCAATATTTCGAACATTTATAAATTGCTTTTTATGTTCCAGGGACCTTAGTTCAAGAAAAATCATGCACAAGCTTTTGGTTATTCTGTTACTTTTTGCGATTGTTGGAACTGCTTATATGCAATGCACAACTGACTGCAGGTTTTTTCAATGCAAACAAGAATGCGGTGTAAATGAAGTAGATATAAGAAAAGAATGTTCTTGCTGTGCACTATGTGTACCTCTGAATGAAAAATGATGTAACTTTGAAAAATTTTTACATTTTATTTTACTTGTATTAAATATTTATAATTGTATCATTGAAAAAACACGATTATTTCAATTACTAAAAACAATATTGCTGAATTTTTATTACATCCAAAATCAAATTTCTGAAGTATAAAATTGGCTTTTTTCTTTAACCTCACGTAAGACAGCCTAAAGTTTTAAAAACAATATTGTATTATTTTAAAGTAATTTTTAAAACAAAAACAGTTAGAATAATGAATTAGCTTAGTTTCGTTTAAAGTGCACTTTAAAATCCTCAGATAAAATTGTTAATTAGATTAAAATAAATGTGACTCGAGAAAAATACATGATCCATTGTCTTATCCTTAATGTGCAAAACGTGAAAAAAAACAACAATATAATTATGCAGCAAATAATGCATTGAACTACAGGGGGAACTACAGGGTAGAATCCTGTAAGAAAGACAAATTTGCTAATGAATTTTGCGATGATTGTGAACTGAATACACTTTTTAATCCTTGAAATCTTTACTTTATTATATCATGAATTCAACAATTTAAACAAAATAAAAGTTATACAATGTCTGTAACTTATATTTTAATTCATCCATAACTCGTTGCAGTCATAAGTTTGAAAGCAATCTTAAGAAATTTATTCTCGTTTGATTCTTTATATATGTGCTTTGTCTTTTTACATACTTTAAGCATGCTTTATAATTTCTTGTTTAATAAATAGTGGTAGCTGAAAATGGGTGAACATTTAAAAGCAAATAATTTAATATTTTTAGTTCTTTGTAACATTTATGGATGTATTGTTGCCAGACTGGCAACTCTGCGTCGTAAAGGGTTAATCGACTGAACTATTCACTGGTTCATACTGGTCTTCGCACTCCATGCGGTCATCATCATAGATCTCAGCACACGCTGTGCTCGTCAAATTTCTGTTACTTTTACATTTTGAAGAAAATAAATTTAATTATTTGATGCAGTTATCATAAAAAGATAGACTATTGAAAAATGCAATACTTTTCTTCTTGTTTCCCCCTTAATGAAGAAAAATCTTTATTAATTAAGAATTAGTAAGGTAGAGAAGATAAACATATTTTGAAAGCTCAATAAGAAGCTACCTATCCACAAAGCGTGACAATCAAACGTGAATGGAATGGATATATTTTTATTATCAAGAGCGCCGAAAAGAATTCCGGGATAAATTGCGATATAAAATATTAGTACTCTGGGTGCATCATCCGAAAAATCCATTTCACCGTTAATTTTAAGTATATCCGATTTCTCTTTCGTGAAATTTTACAGTAAATATAGATTATATGGTAAAATGTGTAGCTGCTGAATGCCATTATTTTTTTATAATGCATATTTTTCCAGTTTCTTGGTATCACAAAATTGATCAAAACTTTGTCAATCTACGAAAAAAAGTCAATTTTCAAAACCTCACATATTCAAAAATCATACTTTTATTTGAGCTACAGCTGATACTTATTTTTGAGCAATATGTAAAAGAAGGAACAAACTTTTCCATCATTGGTGTACAACAATGGTGGATGTAGCTTTCTTCTACGAACTCAGAGGTCAGTTGACAGAAGCCTGCTGGCAAACACCAACGTGTCTCTCACACATGACTCCCTCTACATGCATTTTGTTCAAAAATGAATATATGCTTTCTCAATTTTGAAAAACCCTTTTTCACAATAATTTTCTAATACATTCTATTATTTAGCTATCTTTAAGACACATAATAGTTACAAAGCTGTCAACATGGATAGGAAAAATTCCTGTTTATTTTCCGAAATATAAATTTCCAGATAACTGTTGAATAATATACTAAATAATTTACAAAAAGGGAATTTTATTGTAAACAAAATACAAAATTTTTATTACAGTAAACATTATAAATTATCTGCAATATTTTCCATTTATAGTCGACATTTAATGTACTAAAATTTTAAGTGTTTTTATTATGTTAACTCATAATTTTGAATTTTAATAAATAAGTCATTTAATATTGATATTTTAGTTGAGAAAAAGACTCCTAAATAAAAAATAATTTGAAAAGTTTGGAACCTAAAAAATAAATAAGCATTAAACTGATTATTATAAATTAGGCTTCCTTCATCATGTATTAGTAATATTTATTTAAATATTCAAACAAGAGCGAAATAAATTGTGTAAAAATTCGTTTTTGTAATTGTGTAATTGTAATTGTGTAAAAATTGTGTAAAAATTCGTTAGAACCCAAAAAGTAAATAAGCATTAAACTGATTATTATAAATGAGGCTTTCTTCATCATGTATTAGTAATATTTATTTAAATATTCAAGCAAGAGCAAAATAAATTGTGTAAAAATTCGTTTTCAATAGGGATTTTTTTGGGAAATTTACTCAGTTATAGAGAATTTTCAAAAATATTGTTAAAAACCAGGAGAACCTGTATGCTGGGAGATACTGGCAAAATCCAGTTGTCTACTAGTAAATCCAGTATAGCTGGCAGCTATGTATCTATCGTAACTATCCTCATTAGTTTAAACTAAAAAAACTGTATTTTTTTCAAATTTTAAAACTTTTAAATCTCATATGAATCAAAATTAATGCTTGAATTTTTAAAAAAAAAATATCATATCAAAATTGAGGTAAATTCTTAAAACAGTTTTACGGCAAATGATGATCACTTTGTTCTCAGATTGTAAGACTTGGGTAATAACTTATTGAATTTGTGGTACTGTAATATTCAGCTCAGAATAGCCCTCTTATTTTCTCATAAGGAGGGAAAACATACACTGGAAAATTTCCTGCAGATTTATGAAAAGTTAGTAGCAGTAAGCAAAAGCATAATTTATGGGCAATAAAACAATTTATTAATTTGAAAATGAAATGCTGAAATTAAAGAAATAACTGAACTAATAAATGCAATAATATCTTCTCTCTTACAGGTGAAATTTTATAAAAATAATATTTACATCGATTGTAATGTTAGCAAGAAGCAGAAGAATGAAAGATAATGTGATATAAAAGCTTCCAAATAAATAGAATGATTTATTTCTAAAGAAATGTCTCATTTTGTTTTAAATATCGCAACAATTACAGATGATCTTTCATGGCAAAGCATCAATGACATTGATATACAAGCAGTAAACGATAGTTATAAACGAGGATTGGAGATTTCAATAAAATAAAAATAAATAATGGATATTAGAATTTTTTGAGCTAGGAAAAAATCAATTTTCTTAGAAACTACAAGAAGTCAATGTTAAAAAATATTTTATTCCTATACTAATGCTGTCTAAAACTGATTTCTTGAAGCAAATTATACTTATATATGTACTTGTTATTTTTATATTATTTCATTCTTTTGCAAGATATTGCAAAACTTTAAAAAAATATATTCAAAATTTTGAACATTTTTGTAATTTAAAACTATTTATAGAAAAAATGCTTTTAAATGCATTAACTCATTGCAAGTTTATGGGAACTGAGAACATTTTTGCAGTTAAACTATAAAGTTGAAATTCTTCATAAATACTGATGTGTCTAAAACATTTAATGGCAGGACTGATATATATAATGTTACATGCATTGTTGAATTACCCTAGTCAAGATTTTAACGAAAGCAGCCAAAAAAATTAACAGTAAAAAAATGCTTATAGCTTTGCTTAGTGTTTTTTACTTGAATTCTTTTGTATACGATGTCATACAAATTTTTAACTACTTGTGAACAATAAAAAATATGTATAATTGATTAAAAGTAATTAAAAATATTGTATAACATTACATATAAAGGAATTCAGGTAAAAAGACACTAAGCAAAACAATAAGCACTTAGTAAAATAATTAAAGTAATCCTTGAACAAGTGCCTAAGTAAGAACAGATAATAAAACGAATCTGAATAATTTATAATCTTCTTAAAAATTTAGTATGCAATAATATACAAGAGAAAATAATAATTATTTGAAATGATATTGATTTGTTTCTAAATGTAAAACTATACAGATTTATGATGTTGTAAGATATGATTTAAGGATTATAATTTTTAATTGTAGCCAGGGGTGATTTGGTGTAGTACATTTAAACGTTATAGAAAAACTTAAATTTGAATATTATGGGCATTTCACATCACCGTGCAACCATAGCGATATTTTTATTGCTTTAATTTTACATAAGCATTTATAAATATTACTTTTAATTCTTCAGAAATTTATAATGAACAATAATTCTCTCACTAATGATTAGCACTTTCATCCGACAATGACGTGGATCTGAGCTTAGAGTTTCCCCGCAGCTTTGAAATTGAAACAAATGGCTAATTCTTTTCAAACTTGTTTATTTTATTTTTAAAAATAATAGTCAGTTGCAATCAATTACCATATTCATTAATGCAACAATAGAGCGAATATTTCTGCAAGGGGATTTATCTCGTCCGTCGCGATGAAGGAATTAATAAAAAGCTGCTTATTACTATGTTTTTTTTAAATGTAGAGTCAGCACAAGTGTCGCATGTGGTAATACTACGCGAAGTCCTAATGTTGCTACGTGTCAATATAATATGATAAAGCGATGATATAAACTAAGTCTGGCGGGAAAAAAGGGACAATGTAAATTTTACTTGATTCTCAAGCTCATTTTAAAACAAAAATCGAGATTCGAATTTTAAAAAAATTACTTTTATGCATACAGTTTTTTTTGTCTTCTCTTACATAAAATCTAATTCGAATAAATGAATTAGTTTCTGTATTCACTAATTGTTTTAATTAGTAGGTTTTTTTAATTAATAGCAACAGTCTTGATCGAAATTATTTAATATTTCAATATCCTTTATTTCAACATGCAACTAAAATGTTTTTTTTTGTTGTTATTCCTTAGATAATGCTTTATGGCATGTTTTTCATTTAAAAAGAATAAATAAAATTTGTGTTAAACTTATCTTTAACTTTAATATTTAATTTTTTTAACTGTTCTGAAGCTGATACGCATGTACAATAACTCTTGAAACGAATCTAAAGGAAACAATTCCACAAAATATTGCCAATAGAAAATATTTTTTGACATAAAATTTCATTACATTATTGCTTCTTCCTGAAATCATTCTTTAGAATAAGAATTTAAAGCTTAACGTTTAAAAAAAAATTCTTAAAAAAACAGTATTTAAATATGAGTAGTAAAGAATTTGATCTCATATGATTCACTTAATTATTTCCCTATTAAAGGTGTTGGTGCAGTAAGAGCAAGAAGTGATAGAAGTTTTAATTGTTCCATTTGAATTCATTTTAAAAATACACCTTTAAATGAAATTTCTTTAATTGCTTCAAAATTTCTAAATGTATAAGGAATTTAAGCAATAAATGTTAACAATTTTAATTTCAAATTTAATGAAACATTTAATTCATTTAAATAATTAATTTTTAGTGAAGCACATAGGATAAGATATGTAAAAAATACATAGAAAGATTCAACATTGATTTGTAGTTCAAATTAATGCCATTGTTTTAAACTTTTAAACAATTTATATTAACTTCCAAGTAAAAAATAGCAGGAAGACCTATGTGTTTGATAACATAGGTAACCATGAAATTAATAATTCCTCTAAACTGAAGCTGTAAGATATTACCTTAATTGAAAACTTCATTCGTATCAAAAATATACAAATGTAGAATAACAGTATCAAAAATAAGCTCCAAAAATAGCAACCCATTTTACAAACTTGCCAGACATGAATGTAAAGAAACAAAAAAATATTTAAAATAAAAAACATAAAGTTGCCAACAAAAAAGCGAAAAATAAAGGCGAGAAACAAAAACTAGAAAAACCACGAGAGAACCACAAACCAGAAAACCGCATTAGAAAAGCCACAGAAGCAGAGAGAAAACGAAATGAAAAACAGAGGAAAAAAAGTCACAGTGGCTGAGTGAAAATACATTTCCACGAGTAATGTGGGGTAGAACTAATGTCGTTAGCAAGGAAATAAGCATTTAAATGAATAAAATACAATTCCAGGGTATCAAGATGAGCTGATGTGATTGGGTTGGAAACAATTTTAGCATTGTCGGAATTGAGTTTGTCTCCAAGATTCCAATAATGTGCAGCAATTGAAAATTGATAACTTTGATACGTTATATTCCGTTTTGCATATTTTTTCCCTCGATTTTTGTAGTTTTTCAATTTTTTGCTTCTGACTGTAGTTCCTGTAGCTTTGGTTCCACTGGCAAATTTAAGCTCTTCATTTGAAATCACTTTCATTTCTTTTCATTTACGCCTGACAAGCCCGGAAAATGGCGTCTAGTTTTGAAGTCTTTGAAGCATTTAGACTTTTATTTCATATTTGAATATTATTAAAAGGAATGGTGTATAGAATCGTGTAATAAATAACCATATTAATGACTTAGGCAAAATTTATTTAGATATATATCCATTACAATTTGTTGTTTGCTGTTACTTAATTTTTTAGTTTTTATGTTCAAGTTTGCTCTATTCTTTTTTTTTTTGAAAAATATTATAAATTCTTAAAGTTTACTTTAAATTGATACTTTTAGTACCCCTGCTTTCGAAAAATATAAAAATTTTTAATGAAGTCTGTTCTCAAAAAATTGTATGAAACTCAGTCGAAAAACTTAAGAATATTAGTTAACGTGTCTATCATTTATTTTTAAACAAATTTTTCCTTAATATTTCACACAACTCCTGAATTTTCTTAAATATATTTTCACTAACATGAACAAACAGATAAAAGTGGATAAAACATATTTCAGAAAATGGTAAGATATATTTTAAAATAAATTAATTCTTTTTATCCTAATTGTGAAGATAGCTTATTAAATAAAACATAGAAAAAAATATGTAGCAAAATATATGGCAGGACTAAACTGTAATCAGAACAAGAAAGTCATAGTGACCTCTAAGCAAATCAGGGTAAAATGCATTTAAAGCCGTTATTTGGGGAGAAACTAATGTCGTTAACAAAGGAATCCGCATTCAAGGAAATAAAACAAGATTCAAATCAAAGACATCAAAATGAGCTGATGTGGCAGGGGTGGAAAAACATTTTAACACTTCCGAAAGTGATTTTATGTCCAAAATTCTAACAATGTGAAGCAATTAATGTTTCCTCGAATTTTCGATAATTTAGACTTGCACACGATAAATATGTCCATCAAGTTCTGTATTTTATTGCTAGCTCTCGGTTTATGTGTTTTATGCGACTCGTATTTTTTCCTTTTTCGCAGGTAAATTTGTGATTTTTTTATTTTAAATCATTTTTGTTTCATCACATTTACTTCTGGTAAGTCTTGAAAATGGACGCCTATTTTTGAAGTTTTAAAATATGACGACTCTTAATTCCTATAGGTATATTTTCAAAGGGAATGAATTTACCATATTTCCATAACCATATTATTGACATAAAAAATTATATTGAAGTTTAGACATTAAATTTGTTTAGAGCTGTTTGCATGTCATAATTTTTCATGCTCAAATTTGCCCTAATTTTTTAAAAAAAATTATTTTCGTAAGTTCTCATCGCTTATTTGAAATTTATAATTTTAGAAACCCTGCTTTCTAAATTTTAATTAAGGTTGTTCTAAAAAAATGGGCCCAGCCCAGTCGTATACTTTAATAACATCGGTTAACTTGTTTACCATTTCTTTTAGCACGAATTTTTTCGGAACAATTCACGCAACTTTTGATATTTCCTGAAATTTCTTAAACTATACAAAGAGAGAATAGCGTGTCAAACTTATTTTAGGAAATTGTCCGATATATTGTAAAAATAAACTAACATCTTCCTACCGATATATATATATATGTATATATATATACAGGGTGTCTCAGTTAAGCGTTTCAGAACTTCTAAGAGAGATAGGGGGCATCCTGACGGCTCGAAATCATTTGGTTAGACCAAACTTTCCTTTTCAAATTAAAAAAATATTTCTACATTTTTGTGATTATCCCCTAAGAAAGGAGCATGATTAAAGTTATCAGATTATAGTAAAATTTACTGTGCTTTTAGCTCTACGGAAATAATAAAAAACTCTATAATTTTTACCGTAGTTCTTA